GCGTTCTGATCAGGGCTGACGAGAGTCAGCAACGCCACCCTAAGCCACATTGCGCACTGGCATAACACATCTGTGTGTAGCAGTGGAGAAACCACGTGTGAACACGATCAAGACAATAAAGCGGCCTGGAAGCAAACTAAAAATGCAAGACTGCAAGATGGAAATGGGGACGGGGGGTGCGCAGCTTACGGTGGGCTGCATGTTGAAAGGCATCTGGGGGCTGGTCAGAGGCGCGGGCTCCAGGAAACTGCCCTCCGATTCCTTCAGCGCCAGCGGTGCGGGTTGATCCAAACGTGTCAGATTCTTTAAAGGAAGAAGAACGCAAGCTTTGCACTGTGGAGAAATGCTGCTAAACTGATCCTCGGGACCGAATAAGAACACTAATAAAAACCTGAAATTGCCGCTAAATCGACTAAGTGGTATTTTGGTTAAGTGTTAAAGGAATTAGAAATGACATAAGCAATAAGCTCATGTGCGTAAACTGCATCAATTTGCCTTTCCTGAAACAGTACACAATTCACGGCCGGGGAATTCTTCTACGGAAAAGGCATTTGGTTCCAAATGTGGTATGAGGGCACACGGCAGTCCGAACATGCTTAACGATGGAGGTGTAGGATGAGAAATGGTAGGGAGGGGAGTAGAGGAGGAAGAGGTGGAGGAAGAGGAAGGAAGAGGATAAAGGGGAAGAGGGAGTAGGAGGGAGAAATAAAACGAGGACGAGGAAGAGGAGGAAGAAGGAAGAGAATTATGAATAGGAGGAGGAGGAGATGGAGGAGGAGGAGGAGGAGGAGAAGGAGGAGTAGGAAGAGGAAGAAGAGGTGGAGACGGTGGCGGTTGAGGGGGAGGGGGAGGAAGAAGAGGAAGGAGCAGTATGCGAAAGAAAAGTATGAATAGAAGGAAGAAAAAGAATTGGAGCAGGAGGAGGTCCGACCACCGTCGTGCGGTATTAGCGCTTGCGTATTTAAGTGAGAACGAAGACAGCAAACCCGACAGCTATAAAAGTTAGGCGGGGAATTAATTCGTTCCAGCACACTCCACCCAACTTCACAACTAAACTGTCGAAAGAGGCCTTTAAGCTTGCTCTAGGTCAAATAAGAGCACCTTTTATGTCGCAAAGCGGCGACGGGGGGAGGGGGAGGAAAGTT